ACCATTTCACGCAGTTGTAAATGGCAGAAATCGAATCTGCGCCCCCGAAAAACAAATATTGACACAAAAACGCGACTACGTAAACGGAATCAGCACATCGTCCCATTTTCCCGCCCGACATGAAAGCCATGTTGGAAATATGCTAAATATGTGAACATGTGGTAATTTTACACAGTTGTAAACGGCAAAAATGGAATCTGCTCCCCAAAAAATATATCCTGGTACTATAGACGACTACTTATTCAATATCCGCACATCGTTCCATCTTCCCGCCAAACAAATGGCCGTCATATTGTAAATGTGCAAAATAATCATTTTACACAGTTGTTACTAACCGAAATGGCTTCTGTGTCCTTGAAAACATATATATTGACACCAACGACGACTACTTAATCAATATCAGCACATGGTCCTATTTTCCCGCCAAAAATGACCGCCATCTTGGAAATATGCTAAGTATATGAACATGTGATCATTTTACAAGGTTGTAAATGTCAGGAATGGAATCTGTGGCCATGAAAACATATATATTGACACCAAGCACTACTACTTAATCGAAATCAGCACATCGTCCGATTTTCCGCCAAAAATGGTCGCCATCTTGGAAATATCATACTGAAATGATGGAAAACAATCTGAAGTATAGTCATGAACCCTGTCAATATTAATACATTGCCAAATCACAGTTGATATGTCGATAACATTATAAATAAGGTGAAAATAATAAAATAAGTTGGAATATTATCGCAAAATGGCTACCCTCAAATAATGACCTCCCATACCATGAATACCTACTCAGAAAAAAATGTCAACATTATTTTTTTGTAATCAAACATCAAAACCTACAAAATAAAGCTTATTCCATGATTTCTACCCGAAAAACCGACGGATGGGAATTAGGTAACAAACCGAATCCGACTACTGCTCTTTGTTTGAAACATCAACAGCCTCATCACCCATGATTGTATACCATACACCTTAAAACGCCGAGTGCCATAATTTGAAGTTGCTCGTTTTGAATATCTTTTGAAATGTAAGTATCGGTAGGTTTTTTCAACCAATCCTGAACACTTTGATCCGTCTGTTCATGGAGTTTTAGTAATTGCCAAAGATTGCTTTCCTGGTCGTCGTCGCCCCTTAACGGTAGACCCTGGCGCGCTAAAAAAAAAAAGTACATTACCAAGAATTTTGAGGAGCCCTGTGACAAACTTTTTTGGTGTTCATCAAACTTTTCAATCGCCTTTATCCAATTACCGAACCCTGTCTTTAAGAACCTATCATCCTTTTTAGTACAGCCTAGAAGAGGTGATTTGATGCAGCGGTAGCAGATGACCATATCAGCCATTTCGCAGTAGTGTAACCACGGATACTTCTTGAACCGAGATGGTACAAAAGCTCTATACTAGCTTCCAAACTGGTGTTTCGGAAATGTCCTGTCAAATGGTTGATGAAGCGGAGAGGATAGAAATGTTACTGGTATCACTTCGGTTGTATTCCCATCGTCTTTGCGCCCTTCTGCCAACACTGGTATCTCTAAATCAACCGACAACTCGGCGTTGTCAGTGTATACGGCTGATGTGGATTCGACTAAACAGGACGTCCCTTCAGCATGAACAGGAGATGCGTTAGTTACAGGTTTAGGTTGAAAGAACATTCTCATTGATAACTGTTTTTTTCGAGCTACTTGTACATCTTTTGGTTCTGAATTGTGGCGCTTACTCTGTTTCGCCCCTTTGGCCACAGTCCTTTCCTCGTCATAAGTAGCCATCATGACACAAGCACTGCCTCGATGGCGATACTATATATAATCAACTGTATGAGTGTGGAATTGGTCAGTGATGCAGGACGGACGGCCTAACAAGGACAGCTGTCTAGTCATTCGGATGGGACGAAAAACCGAGGTCCCGTGTACTCATTGGCGGGCACGTAAAAAATCCCTTGACAGTTGGAATTCGATATAAGAGTAGGCCGTAGTCCCGCTGTCCAGGCAAAAATTTCCTTCATAGCACACTGTATGACGTATGTCCGTCTTCATTAGCCCAATTCGGAGCAGAACAGTAGGACGTTAACCCCATTTCTTTTTATTTTTCATTTCATTTCGTCATATAATCTGTAATTACAGTAACGGATTCAGTCGTACAAAATCATAGAAACGACCACAAAAGATTTTTATGTGATGTAAATCAAACATTAAAACCTTTTCATTACTTGATTCTCGACGGGATTCTTTTCAGTGATTTTTTTTTATCTTTTTTTCTTCAGAATTCGGTATTAGTTCTTGCATTATCAACTGATTTTTTTGGTAAAGTCTAGGAATAACTGATGTTATTTCGTGGGGATTAAATAGTTGAACATGGTCAGATTAGAAAGCTCGTGTAGTTTTCATTCATTTCAGTTCTCAGGTCACATCACACTTTTTAGCCTTTAAAGCTGTACACCATGGATAATCGGGGCTGTAATTAGTGCCGTCCATTCAGTCTGAGCTATTTGTAATTATTTGATCTACATATAACGACCAAAAATAACAGCATAAGATTTACATATATATTTATAAAACCATATACCGTGTATATTGTACACAATCAAACCCATCATCTTTATAACTTCAGATGTGGTTTACTGTGGTCTATTGATTTCACACCACTATCTTCATAGTGATAACAGTTATAAATACTCTTAAAAAAAAGTGGGGGATATTGAAATGCAAATACCTATGCAGGTTGTGATATGATAAATAGTCATGGACACTTGGCATGCTTTGAGAGTATGTTCACAGATGAAGAACTTATCGCTCCAATGGCAATAGAACCACTCAGCTGCATGTGCGACACGCAATAGCGCCATACACGTGGGTGGTTCATTGTCAAATTTGACACTTGAAGGAAGGGTTGATGAAAACTGCCGCTTGCTGGTTTATCCTATCCATGTTTGCTTTCCTATCGGTTCCTGCATAAAATTTACTGTTTAGCATATCTTTGCGTTAGTGTGTTACGTTTTATTTGATCGGGAGACGTGTTCGTCGACGTCAACGTCAACCGACAACACTGCAAGGATTGGCCATGGCACTGCAAGAGGAGTGGGTCAGATTGCCCCAAATCGTGATTGGGCGGTTGATTAGGAGCATGCCACGACGAATTGCTGAATGTTTGGGGATTGGTGGAGCAATTACTCATTATTAAGACAAAAATCAAAAACGTCAATTTTCACTTTTAACGGTGTATCTCTTTGCGGGTGAAATGGGGCCGTCAGATAAGCCGCCCATATGAACTGTTTATGTTCATGTGTAGGCAATTGGCCTGTTATTAACATACACTGGTTACCTCTAATAAACACAGCAGTGCATTTCCGCAGTTTTGTATCGTTTCTGAATACCCCCTACTTTTTTTTGAAGAGTATATATTTTTTTATATTATACAAGTCCGACCATTCTACACGAATGTCTTCCCTTATTCAAATATGATTTTAATTACATACTTTTGACGTTTCAATTATATGTGAACGATTTGGCTTTAAGATTTTAAGATTTTAATACCAAGACCGATATTCGATTCTAGAACCCGTTTGATCTTTGAAACGAGGAAGACGCTCTGGTTACCTATGTTTTGTTTAGTCAAGGGTTTGAAATGTGATATGTTTCTTTCAATTATACGTTTGGAGTTACTAGGTAATAGCAGCCATTGTTATCTTTATTTTTTATTCACAACAATGTCACGGACTTCCTTTATTTGTCATCAGATTTGATCTGGTAGACTCTACGTTTTTGGCAACTCTTTACACAAAACACCCATAAATTCAATCTGGTCACAGTCTACTTCGTCAAGAGCATTTCTTTTATTGGCTTTTTTCTTAAACATACATTATGCAAGAGCTAAATCTCCTTATTGCAAGTCTTTATTTAGGCTTCAGATGTTATAGAAATTATTAATAAATCTTTATTTACTCGAAATCGAAAAGCTCAAAATCAACTCTGTAGACCCACGGAGGGCTTGGATACAGTTCAGATTTAAACAGTCATCCATTTAAAATTAAATCAATAAATAGCGGACCAAGCTAACGTTTACCATTAGTCGCTGGTGTCACTACCGAAAACTGGTAATGCAAGGCCTGCTAATTGAGCATGTTACTTGATAATCAAGAATATGTAGGTGGAGTTATCGTCTGTCAATCAAATGATCGCCAATTCTCACTGACGGTGCAAACACAATTGATGCCTATTTCTAGTCCAAACTTCCAACAGTGACAATTCCGTTCAAAACAAAGTAATTTGACTGAAATTTTCCACATTTTCTTTTTTTTATCATCTATATTTGAATTATTATAGCAAGAATGGCCAACTCTTTATAAAACTCTTAACTTATGTTTCTTTAAGTCATGAAATATAGATGGAACTCATATTCAATTGAGAAACTATTTTAAAAGCTATCATTATATTATTAACAAAGGGCGTCGCCATTTGCTGGGTTACAGTAGAGACAAAGACATTTAACAACTAAATTGATAACTGCGCTAGGATCGATAGTATTTTATTTAATTCAAAGTCTCACATAATACCAAACCGCCCCCTTAAACTAATTTTAAGTGTATTGCTATGATTCTCTCTGCCTCTGACATGAACTATAGTACTACACGCTATCTCACATGTTCCAAAGCCAATATTTTCTGTTCAAATCTTAATCGCGGCACGTAACTATCTAATCACTTATTTCAATTAAATTACCGATCTTCAGGATGTAAAATGATTGAGTAAATCGAATGACAGGTTTAGAATCCCTAGGTAACGTTTCTTGATCTGGAGTTAAATCTAAAGTTTGATCTGAAATTATTCACTAATTCCGTGGGCCATCAAATAATTATTTTAATATCCATTTTCCCACACATAATGTTTACAGTGTAAACATAAGATAAATTAATAGCAGTCAAGATATTCCATTATTATAAATCTCCAAGGAGAGATGTGGGTGGGGGTACTTGACTCACTTTTATATTTCTTTAATTTGCAGAGCCAAGTTGTCAAAAACCAGAGACCTGCAGACAGGCGGCCATAGTTCGTAGTAGTGCACATGAAAGATCCTTTGGTGGTAGGAATTGGAGTGTAAACTGAAACGCCGCTATCCAGGAATATTCTCTATCTCGCATTGTACACTAAAGAACCTCACCTTTTCGTATTATCCGAACGACTATACAAGCTTTCAGTGTAATATGATAATAATATCATTTATAAACCACGTTAATACCGAAGCAAAATTCCATTAACGCTGGTAGTTTATTCCATAGAAAGGCCTAGCTTAAGAAAAGGCACGTTTTGGAAGTTTAAGTTAATGGTTGGAGATTTTAGAAGATGTTTTTCTAAGAACGGAGAATTCTGCTTGTATTATAGGGTTCAACAAGACGTTTTATATAAGATGGAGCTTCGCCGTTTAACGCTTTGGAGACGAAAAGCAGTAACTTAAACTTTGCGGAATTAGGTACCAATGTAGGAATTGCAATACAGGGGAGATGTGTTGATGTTTTCTAGTGTTAGGCGCCGTGTAGGAATTGCAATATAGAGGAGATGTGTTGATGTTTTCTAGTTTTAGTGAGGAGTCGAGCTGCTGAATTTTGAACATGTTGCAGTTTGTTAATCTGATGGTCTGGTAAGCCATGTAGTAAACCATTGTGGTAATCTAGTTTAGTTGTGATCAATGTTTCTTTATTTTCATAATTGGGATAGCGTTGAATTTTTCCGATTCCATATATATAATAGAACATCAATAGTTCGAGATTTTTTGCTCCGATTACTAACAGTTCTGTTTCATTTGGATTTAATTTTAAGAAATATTCTGTCATACACTCAAGACTTTCTGTGAGACAAAAGTTCTATATTTTGTACTTAAACACCTTGGGATGTTATTTCCTTTGATCTCCCATACATGCTATGAAACGTACCAACATGTTATGACGTCATCAGAGGACCACTCTTTAAGAAAGACCCCTACACTGTAAATAATATTTGTGTATTTTTACCGTAAATTGACTGGCAGAAAGCTGCCACTAAACTGACTGTATTTTAACAGTGACTTGTAAAATTACACATAAGTGGTAGATTTAAATTTACAAACGACATGTAAATTTACAGTGAGTATAAAATAACTTGTTCTTGTAAACAGAAAGTGAGGTAAATTTACATTCACTGTAAATTTACCCCAAAGTTACCTTACACTCACTGTAAATTTACACTGTGGTTGTAAATTTACCTTAAAGTTATTTCACAATCACTGTAAATTTACGTTGTGTTTGTAAATCTAAATCTACCATTTAGGGCTACATTTACAAGTCAGTGTTAAAATACAGTGATTTTACTGGCAACTTTTTGCCAGTGATTTTAAGGTAAAAATACAATTTGAAGTGTATATTTACTGTGTTTTAATCACATTGGCTGATTGTAATGGGTTTCAAGGTTGTTGGAATAAATATGATAATTTAACTGATGTAGTACACACTTCTCTAGTAGTTTTGAAATGTAAGATATATTACTGACTATCTGGATCCATGTTTGATTTCTTTAATAATGGTTTAACAATGGCTTTTGCTAGTTCCGGGTGAAAGTGACCAGATGAAAGAGATCGGTTAATAATTTCCGATATAATGGGTACAAATAGATCAACGTGTTTCTTCAATAGTTGTGTAGGTATCATCTCTATATCACATGTTTTAGAAAAACTTTCTGATTATGACGAGCTTAATTTGCGCTTGAGTCAGATTGGTGAATGACGACATCAATGCTGCTGATTTGTTTCTATATGACGGCACAGATTGAGCATTTGATTTTATTTCTAATATATCATATCGTATTTTAACAATTATATTTGCAAGTTCCTGTGTAGAACTGTACTCTGGAAGTGTGCTTGCTTTATGGCATGGCGAATCCTTGATGTGATTTCTGATTATGTAACACGTGTGATCATTGGCTGGAATCAAAGCAGTATTAACAAATTATATGACATAACAATATGTATCGGCGTACCCCACCGCATCCAAACGTAAAAAAGGACTACGAAATGCAATAATGAAATACAGTATCATACGGTATTTCATTAAAATGCAAATAAACACGAGGACACAAAATAAGACAAAACACGGACATTGTAAGCCCCCGGAGAACCAGCAAATGCAGTCATGAAATCAATCCTCTACATTGTTTACTGTGATGTTATTTAAAAAGCATTGCACCTATATCATTCACATTTCACATATGGTACAATACGGATGTTCCCAACTTCATTCCAAATTGCATGCCCACTTCTCAAATAATGTTACCATGGAATGAATGTGTTTTAAAAAAGAATGTCAAATCATGCTCTATCGGACTGAGGGGTCATATCGCGCTCACATCAGTTTTACATGTTAATGTTATCGGTACAATGCTTTTTGAATTACACCACTTTAAACAATGTAGTCGTTTTTTCTGGCCAATCCGATATAGCCGCGTAAATCCCGAGTGGAATATAGTCCCAAGAATATGTCTGAAATACTGTGATACGCTTTCAAAGAAATACCAATGTCCAGTTTTATGTTGACGTTTCCAACATTTGCGAAAGTCGACTACAGAAACAAAATTAATAGCAAGTAAATGTTCAAGCAAATCAGACGTATACCCACTTCAATTCATTGTTGTGTGTTCTTTGTTCTTTCCTGTAAGTTCTGAAGTTTGTTTGTTTGTGGACTTGCGCGATCCCTCGTTAGTGGTGAACTATTTATTATCTTTTACAATTGTAGTCCGAATAAAAATTTGTCAAATCATAATATCTGTATGTTAATTATATATGGTATAACGACCCCCCCCCCCCCCCAACACTCGATAATAAAACTAATCCCCTCATCACACTTATTTGTTAGCGCACTCCCTAGACGGGTGATTCGGTTGTCTGTCTGTATTTACTTTGATCCACCGGCAACTCCTCTGTTTAATCGGATGCGCAAAAGACACCATGGTATTGTGTTGAACTTAAAGACCAGCTGACACCAAGGATTATTTGCCACCAATAGCTTCAAGGACATTGTTGGTGTCAGCCAATATCAAATATGTGATCGAACTGGTTAAATACATTCCAAATATAATTTTAACACATAGACCTTTACTACGGAAGATGCGTTACGAAGCTAGAAACCGGAAGTGGCGCAAACAAAAGGAAAACACGGGTTATCCTTACATATATATAACTGACTGGAGAAGAGAGCGATAACAGATACACTGAACCGATTTCTATTCATGGTGATGGGATCTTGTTCACGTGAATTAATATGATCTGCGTGTTTATTTGGAAAAGTTAAGAAAATGTTTTTATCAAATTGGTTCAAAATTTCGGATAAGCTGTTTTCTATTGATGTATTATTTTCGAGACATGGCTGCTGTGTGAGCGTTATTTCCACGTTCTGTCTGTGGATTTTCTACTTTACATGCTAAGACTAAATCTATAATAATTATGTACCAATAAACTGATAGACGTCATTAAATTTTTTTCCGGTATCTAGGGACATAACTCCTACATAATATACTAAATAGCAAAAAAAAAAACCGAAAAAAAAACCGAAAAAAAACGTCAGTACGATTTCAAAATAAGAGAGCCACTTTACTCAAATCATTCTAGAAAACGACTTACTAAGTCGATCAAAGCAATTGACACATTAGTGATTAATTCATCACAATTCCAAGACATTACTAGAAGGTTTAGAGTCTGTACACAGTCTATACATCAGTAACTGGTGTGTCCTCTGCGCAGCGTCTGTACATGGAGTGGACCAGAACGCTATTGGCACCTGGAACCACACTCTCAAAAAAGCCTGGCACAATCCATCGGCTGTGTTTGGTCTCGGTACGACGTTATTAAGTCTCCTCTGAATTGCGTCCCAACTTGCTGGCCAGTGCATAACGTTGACACCGTTCTGCTGTAGAAAGTCCAGAGTAACTTTGGTGGTGTCATGCTGGAAAACGCTGTTTCGATGACGTGCGAAATGTGGTATGAGAGCTTGATCTATGTAGCGCACTGTTGTTGTGATGCCGCCTCCTCTCCCTGGGCCAAGAGTTTGAAACACCACAGGACCCACTCTCTGGTTCAGGCCGATTTCACCCCAAATCATTATGCTTGGACCTCCCCATGAGTCTCATTCCATGACACATTGGTCAGAATAACGCTGGCCTCGTCGACGCCATATTCTGGTCCTGCCATCTGCAGTTGACACGCAATACCGACTCTCATCTGTGAACAGAACAGTTCTCCATTGCCTGTGTCGCCAGTTGGGAAAACTGTAGCCGTTGACGAGGGTTGAGGATCGGTCCACGGCAAGGTCTACGGCAATGGATGTTCTCTCTGGTGAGACGTCGGCGCACTGTATCGGTACTGATGGGTTTTAGTATGTCCCCACTGTCTGACGTGCTGTCTCAGACGCCTGTGTGAAGGGATTCTGCACGTGTTGTCGCACAACATGGCGGCCTTGTGGTAACCCTTGGTCTACCAGTTCGGGGCGATCATCCGTGGTGTTGGTGGCCCGAAAGCGTTGCTGAAGCCTGTAGATGGTCCGAACACTGACCTGGAAGTGATTGGCAACGGCTTGGGCAGTGTGGCCAGCGTCGTGTCTTCCAAGCGCCTGGTTCCTCTGAGCTGTCGTGAGTCGCGGCACGCTGCTGACTTTGTAGTGTGAATGATTCAACCAGGTATGGGGGTGCATTTTATAGGGCTGGTCCCGGTGAAGAGCCCGTGCAGCATGAGTTACATGAAAATCATGGAGAACACATTACCATCTCAGAAGTCAGGTTGCGTTTTCGAGAACATTTCCTGGGTTCAACTCTGTGTTTAGGAAGGGGTCTTATTGCTCAGGTGAAGTTGGAGATGTGGTCACAAATATACAATAAAAAGATTTGGCAAGTTTTATGCAATGTGTCTATTCAGAGTAACATACAAACCTGACGTTTCTTTTGCTGCTTAGTATATATCCATATAAAATTTAAAATACTATAATTGTATGCTGTATAACAAGATCCCTGATCCCTAAATGTTTATAACAAATTAGTTATAAATACCCCTGGACATAATCATATCAAATAATTGGACGCAGACCTACATCAGGGGCACAGCTTCCAAGTCCTATTCAGGTACTGTAACACGCTGTGTATACAGTTTGTTAAATGGGCGATTTATGGAGATCATTTATCATTAAACTATGGAATCTGGGGACATATATTTACTGTGCTTTATCTGCATATCAGCTGGATTCAATTCAATAATCATATTGTTTAAATTTAATTTTTCTCGTTTTAATGAATCCCAATGAAAGTGGATCGATTTGATCTGGTGACAGATTGTGACAGGGCAAACGATTGATGGTGCTATTTATGTTATGTTTGGTGAATATTCTCTGTCTTAATTGCCTCTTTGAATTTCAACTGCCAAGTGTTCTTTTACGTGCATACAGCAATGACAAGCGGAACTTTCTTGACCAACGCAGGGGTCGAACGCAAGACCACTTAGTCAGTGAGCCATTATATTTACCTTTACGTTTGACTTACACATGAGGAAAAGTTTTTAATTTATGTAAATTTACCAGAAATGAGCAGTATTTTTAACAGGTCAGATTTACGTTAAATTGTA